CATGTCGAACGTGCTCTCCAGCTGGAACACCTGCGACCGCGAGAACACCGTCCGCGTCTTCTTCTTGCGCTTCATGCTGCCGGAGTCGCGGCCGTCCACGCCGACCTGCACGCTGTTCTGTCCTCCACCGCCGCCGCCCCCGCCTCCACCGCCCCCGCCGCCGCCGGCGCCGTTCCCCGTGCCGTTGCCCGCGTGCAGGCCGGTCGAGTTCGTCGATTCGCCCTCGCCGTCGCCGTCGCCGCAGTCGTCCTGGTCGCCTAGGTCGTCGTGGCCCTCGTCGCCCGTCGACGGGCTGCGCGTCCGGTGCAGCCGGTCCTCGCCGGTCTCGTCGTCCAGGTCATCTGCGCAGAGTGATTATGCTTTTAGACGACTGTCTGTCGATCTGGGTAGATCGTCGGAGGAGCGAGGGGATGACGGGCAACGCCCGTGGGCGAGATCGCGACGGTTAACCCCTTGCCGTTTCACCGGCAGAATCGGAATCGTGGCGACCGATATCTCATGGTGTTCATGTTTGGTTTAGAATTTGTATCACGAGCTGAACTCGTTGAAGGACGGTAAGGGGTTAACACTCGTTAGGAAAAGCGAAATACGAATTAGAGTCTGCCGCGAACGCGAGCTGGCGAGATAATTCTATTGTGCACCGCGTATCTTGTAGCTTCTAGTTGTAATTGTAATTGTTGCAATTGTAATGACGTAGCAACCATCCGCGCGCATGTAATTCTGTCAAGTATACTTCTTGATTATCGTTCTGTAACCCGAGGCGTAAATCCTAATTATTTTGAACCCACTCTCGCTGTTTCTTTCGGGGGACTGTGTGGCTGTCGTGTAGCTGGGCTCGCTAAAGTTGAAAATTAAGTATACTCGAAACGTTGTACAAAATCTTTTATTTATGGGACATCGATTGAGCAGAATCAGGCGATCCGTAGGGCAATTAAAAACGAAAAGCGAACGGGACGTAAGATGCGTTTGCAGAGGAGCCAGTGGAAACGCTCGCCGTTCATTTCTGGCTCGGACAATGGCGGGAAGCCGGTCATCGATACGGATTGTCGCTTCAATTTGCCGATACTGCGCGCGTGCACGCGGTAATGGAAACGTACGCTTCGAATCCAGCCGATGATCGGTCGTTTATCGTCATTACGTCAAATGCGCCGGGCTAAACGTGTAATTTATGTTGTAAATTTCGGCGCGACCGTGTCGAAAATAATCGAGTATCTTCGATTCAACTGAACCCGGGAGATCGCGTTCCTCTCGCCGCTGCGTCGGCACTCATTGAATTCGAAGCGGAACTAACAAGAAGAGTTACCGCGCCCGGAAATTCAAACGTGAAACTTTCCGTATAAACAGAGTTAACCTAACTTCCAAGGGGTGGTTCTGTCCCTTCAAACTGAAATTCACGAAAACATTGCAACGTATCATAACAGACTTATAATTTCTTCCCTTAATAAAACTTATCATCAAACGTGACAGTCGATCAAAGAGAAACCTCGAAGATCCACAGTTCGACAATCACTGGCATGACACGAAGAACGCGTCGAAGGGAATAATCCCACGGATCAAGAGCTCCTGATTACCTTCCGCAATCTCGCGGCACCGGTTCGCAATCGCGCAGAAAGGGCCGGCGCGCCGAAAGAAATTGATAAGGCGGTTTAATCGGTCCGTTTAAATCCCCGCGCACGCACGAATGTAATCGGATGATGTGTGTCGCGATCGAGGGCGGAGGGGCGAGGCGGGGCGAGGCGACAATGCGACGGCGTGGCCATGATTCCGCAAATCGCGCCATTTCCACGGCCCGGCGCGGCCCGGCGTACGTTGCCGCGGTAAATGCATTAATTAACGGTCCCTTTAATGCGTTCTTTGCGGCCGGACGATTGGATCCGCGCCCGGCGATCTCTTTCACGCATCGCCGATAAATAAATCCACGCTCGCGCTGCCGCGTCCGGACTCGGTGAATCGACGAGCCGGTTATTCATCTCTCGCGGCGGCGTTGCGTTTAATGTATAGTCAATTGATAGTCTGCTAATTAATATTCTATCTATCCATTTCGGCATAATTGCTCCGGATCGCGAGCCGCGCGGTAACGTGTTTCATCACACATGATGAAATATTTGCGATTGCCGCCCGGCAGTCCTTCGCGCCTTCGATTCCCCCGATTATGCTAATTCATTGTGCATTCTTGTGTTATCGGACCGCCATTGTCCCGATGCCGGCGCCGCGTCCGCGCCGGGTCATTCGCGGAACGAAGCTTTTCGAATTATTCGGCAACTGTGACGGGTTCCGGTGGTTTATTCTAATGAACGTTCGAATTAGTTAAACTGGAGGAATCTTGTAGTTCGCAGGGCGAAGGGTTAACCGTCGCGTAACATTATCGTATCAAACGCAACTGGTATTAGAACGAATCACCAGCAGTTTAGCGAACCTTTCAGCCACTGCTCGCCTCTATAGTGGCTTTCGTGTGCAGGTAGCTACGCGAGAGAAAGAATTGTACCGTTATAGCCGTTGGAAAAGATGATAGGGTAGACCGAGGCGAATCGGATCAGTTCAGATTTGACAGCGAAAAATAGGTACCCTATCATCTTTTCCAACGGTACGCCACTAGCCGCAATTCTTTCTCCGTCTATATGTGCACACTGTAGTCTAATCCGACGCAATTCCGCAGTGGACAATTCTAGTCTCAAATCACAGTACATTCGTAATACGCTTCGCGGCTAGTCATTTCAGCGAGATCGGATTCTCATATTCGGACTGAGTAGCAAACAAATGATTCAGTTACTGAAACATCAAGAGTTCAGTCCGCAGTTTCCTATTTTCCTACCGTTCAAGTGATCGATATATAATTTAGCTTCATCCATTGAGTTTCTCAAAGAATCTTCGTTCGCAAAGGGTTAACACATTGTCAATGGTCGACGTGTAACGATCTCTCGCGACCGGAGGAACACCAAGGCCTCCCTAACCGTGAGAAATTGACAAACAGACGCGGGGAGTTCTCGCCGTCGACAAAGTGACGGACTATCCCGGCAACTCCGGTGCCGCGATAGTTTACCCTCTAAGTGCGAGGGAACGGCGGCGGCGGCGAGGCAGCAGGCAGCCAAGTATTTTGGCGAAGTGGCAGGAGTAAAACGATCGGGCGGGTAAGGCGATCGACGTTGGTTTGTCGTGGTGGAAGCCGTGGAAGCCGTACTCCGGCCCGCCGTCCGCGCTCGCGTTTGCACACTTACGCAGCGTACAACGCGAGCGGACCCTCGCCTTGCCCTTTCCTCCGCGGCCTCCTCGCTCTCTCGTCTTGCGACGCGCGCCCTATCATCGCCCTCCCGCGCGACCGATTCGCAGGAAAACACGCGCGCACCCCCGCCCAGGCGCGACGCGGAATCAAACGAGATCGCTTTCCTCGAGACTTCGCGAAAATTAATCTCCGCCTCGTTTCCGTTTCGCTCCGAGCGAGTTCGTTGACTCGGACGACGACGTTCTTCTTTGGGAATGGTTGGATGGTTTGGCGATGCTTGGATTTTATGGCGAAGAGTTCGAGAAGTGGGGTTGAACAGTTGGATTTGTGGGTGTTTTGCTGCGTTCGGTGGAATTCTGGTGGATCGCGATTGAGACCTGAGTAAGGTGTTAATGTTGTTGTTTGGGAAATGGTTGGTATTGGTTGGATTTTAAGGTGAAGAGTTCGAGAAGTGGGATTGAGGGGTTGGATTCGAAGATAGGTGGATTTGTGGGTGTTTGCTGCGTTCGGTGGAATTCTGTTGGATCGCGATTGAAATCTGAGTAAGATGTTAATGTTGTTCTTTGGGAAATTGAATTTTAGGGTGAAGAGTTTGGAAAGTGGGGATGAAGGGTTTGGTTGTAGGAAAGGTGAATCTAGGGATGATGGGTTTGTGGAGTCGTGTTGCGTGTAATCCTGTTGGAGAATTTTTGAACAGCCTGTAGAAGTTTGAGAGGTACTAAGGTCACGATGAAATTGTTGGTTGTAGTCTTGAGGTATTATGTTGTTCCGCGAATCTCCTAACGAAACTGTAACTTTGGAATCATTTGGGTGCTCTATATTGACGAACTAGAAGATAATAAACGTTTAAGATCAGACAATCGTTACGCAAGAAATCTACTTCAAAGTATCAGAGTCTTCCAAGTTCCTTTGATCCTTCATCATCCGGAGTGCCTTGTATAGTCGGTGCGTTTAAGTATCTTCGATTCAAGGCCACAGTCCCCACCACAAGAAGCGGGGAGCAAGGTGGGGGAGCCGGCGAGGAGCAAGTTGGTGGGGATAGTCGCCACAAGTGACCTTGAGCCCGGATTGATTTTGTTCTTGCCGCGTTCGCCGGTTTCTTTCGGGCAACGGTTCCAAGCAACCGCGCTATTAGTAAAACTCGATCGAGGAAATTATCCACTGCCCGGAATCCATTCCGTTCGCGCAAACATGATCGATGCAGTTATAACAATAAACCAATCCTGTTAATTGTTTTGAATCGATGTTCGCCAATAGACTACCATCGTTATCCTCGTCCAATGAATATTGTACAATTTCATCCCGCGCAATTTTCATCGTCCACGCCGGCTAACCGAATGTTTATAGATCTATTATGCTCGACTAGCCTAAATTTATGATCCGTCGTAATTTCACGCGTATTCGTGTTCCAGCGACGCGGCGCGCGCGAACTGGTCGCCGGCAACCGCGCATCCAGACAAACAGAAATGGTTTCGGTCTGGGCATTCATAGTTCACAAAGATAAATTCGTAGGGAACAATTGATATTCCGATCGTGGCCCGATGAAGCATGGGATTTGCAGATTTTTCCATCTAATCGGTATCTTAATTGACGCATCGTTGTTTGGAAACCATAATGACCTCGATGTTTATGCATTTACACTAAGCTTATTAACACTAGAACCGTGCCAGTCAAAATGACAATTCAAAACAAGTCAACGTTTCAGACAAAATACCAGGACTCCCGTCTCTCACCGTTACATGCGAGCTCAGTCGACAGCGTCCAAACAACCCCTAACTGTTAGGCGACGCCCATAGCATATAATAAAACCGCATGGGGTTGAAAATCCCGTGCCGCAAAACCCAATCAGGAGGAGCCGGCGGAATCGGGGAGCTCGGGAGTGGTGGAGAAACGGAGCCAAAAAAACAAATATGATCGTCGAATTTCAAGTGGGCTGGAATTCCTCGGGAAAAAGGGTCGATCCGTTGCTCCGACCACCAACCGGTGCTAAACTACGTCTTATAGCCTTCGATAGCAACCGGATATCATGTTCGTTGGTAATGCACCAGCTGGTAGAGTGCATTAACTCTCTACTTAGCAGAAATGATCCAACGATCTCTTCGAAATGAAAGAAAAAAGCGAAATGAGGAGAGATGATACATTTATTTGAAAGAGTGAATAATTTGCTATTATCCTGATTGTTAAAATGGTGGTACACTGTCAGTTAACCTCTTGGTGTATTATTTAATTTCGTTACTACGTAACATTTTACTATCGAGGATTTGGAAGTGCAAGGAAATGTTCCATTCTAAAATAATTTGCTTTGAGCTATTGGCCAATGAACATTGGTTTCTGTTAAATTCATCTAGTGTCTTTAAAGTGTTAACCCTTTAAAATTAGTTTTTTTTTAAGTGTTAACCCTTCCTGGACGAAGATTCTTCGAGACATAGGAAATCTTCAGCAGATGAAGTTAACCCTTTGCACTCGAGAATATTTGTCTCATTATTTTCTGATAAAATATCACTGATACTTTTTACAACTAAAGAAAAAGCTTGCGTAAATTAAGCGACAAAACTATTTCGATGTTCCATGTGTTGGTACACTATATAAAATTTAATATTGAATCTGAAATTTTATCATTTTGTTGGGTAGAGTGCAAAGGGTTAAAATTATATCAATTACTCGAATGATAGGAAAAATAAAAACTACGCGTTGATCTCTTCGAGTGATTAGCCCCTTGCCGTACAATGACGAGTGAGACTCGCGATGAAGATTTCTAATTTAACAAGAATCAATGTTGTTCATTACCCACGGATCAAACTATTTTGCTCTTATCAATGTACCATCTCAAAATGAAATTTCTGCTTCAAGTAGAGCGTAAAATTTTGTTGTCTCACAAATTGTCGATAGTAAAATATTACACTAGCTTAGCAACGGAAGTAACTAGTACGCCAAGGGGTTAGATCATTCGTTCGCGACTCAGTCTTCGGAATATGAAAACTTCATCTCGACATGTCGAGGTTCGTCGGCAAAGTGTTAATAACGGGAGCAAAAACGCGGAGAAAGGGTCGATCCGCGTCGACTCACCCCTTTGCGGAAAGCTCGCGGATGCGGGACTGACGCGGCTGAGGGTGCCCACGACGTCGCTGGGCGACGGATGCTCGAGCGTCTGCAGGCCGTGCGTCGGCCTCCATGGAAACGGCCAACCGGCGCCGCCGGGCAGGACGCCGCGGATGCCGTCGGCGTCGACGATGTCCGATTGGCCGGTGACCTGGACCGCGTTGCTCAACGCGGAGGACGCGGCCGCCAGCCGCGAGTGATGCTGGTGCTGCTGTTGCTGGTGGAGGTGTTGCAACGTAGACGGGAAGAACACGCCGCCGACGCCGATGCCGACAGGGTAGCGACCCGCTATCAGCGACGACATCAGGCCTAATCTGGAAATTCAACGTAGTTTGTTAGTTTATTGCAATCGCTATCCAACTGATGGTTTTATGGGAGTATAGGTTTCAAATCGGAGATCGATCGAGAAGACGTTCTGAAGACATGAAATAATGAATGTGGTTATAGAGAGTGACTCTCAGCACTTGATTTGATACAGCACAACTGTGAACTTGAATATTCAGTATTCAACTGTCGGTTGAGTATTTGACGCGTCAGATTAATTGAAATTACATTTTGCAATGTCAAATATTTAAATAAAACAGCTTCGTTGCTTAATATACCTCTGAATTATCGTTAAACTAGTTTCAAACAGTGTCGTCTTTATCTCATCAGAGAATGTCGAAATATTTCTGAGAAACTTCCGGTGCAAAGGGCTAACCCTTTCCACTCGAGAGGCGCCTTTCAGTCGCCACCTGACGCAGCAAACTTATAACATTTTAAATTCAACATTAAACCATGTGTAATGTATCAACGCATAGAACATTGAAATAAAACAATTGTCCCTTAATTTATATAAGATAAGCAGTCGCGTTACTTGCGAGAAATATCGTTAACATTTAGTCAGAAAGTAACGAGTATTTGTACTGAAAAATATTGTCGAGTGCAAGGGTTGACACTCACTCCCACGAAAGCTAAATACCCAAGCCCTCCGCAGGTGTCTCCAAAATGGCGGACACAGTGCGCCTCGGTTGAAAGCTCGATCATCCTCGAAAACGAGGCGACTCTGTTCGCAAACACGATTTAGACGAACGCCTCCGCGCCCGATTCACGGAGAAGTGTACCAACGACCCCCGCGGTTCCGCAGGTAACGAAACGACAGAGTATCGAGAAAGGCGACGCAGGTATCGGGGGGTCCGGCGGATCGTGCACGGTGGCTGCGGGCCAGCCGTAAGCGGATTTTCGCTCTTAATAACGCGGCTAAACGAGCCGGGGCCGGGTGTCATTGTTGCGACGCAAGCGTCGCTCTTAATAGGCATAACTCTCGAAATTCCTTTGAGCTCGAGGACCAAGTAGCCCGGGGAGATATTAATGGCTTCCGGCTGGTGGAAGGTGAAGTGCTTGAGAGGAGGAGGAGGAGGATGAGGAGGAGGATGGCGAAGATTGGGTGGCAGCTAAAGAGAGGTGGTAGGGAAGGGGGTAGGAAAAGTGC